TCCTCCACTTAGGTCGGACCATATGCTGCTGTTGGGAGGTGGAGGGTAGGGAGTTGGGTATATCCCTTACCTAGGGACGTTAACTCTTATATAACCCCATCAGGTTATGCTCTGCTATTTACTGTGAAGACTTGCTAGAGCTCCTGGAGATAAAATTTAAAAAAGTTTGAGGACTCCCCTATGAATCAGTCCTGGAATTTTTATCTCTCAGACATGCCCACACTGAACCTCCAGCAATTTGTTGATTATACTTGAGATTTTTCTACTCTGATACTGGTTTCATGGAGATTTCTCCTGGTGTATATTGGGATTTTCTGTGTCTATCTGCCTTTCTTTCCAATCTTTAGGCAGTGGTTTGCCCTCTGATCTCACTGCTTCCATAAATGAAAGAGCTATTGATTTGAGTTTGTTCAGCCTTTTACTGTTAAGATTGAATGAAGAATTCTAAGTTTCTTATATGCTGAATCAGAATCCAGAAGTGCTAATATATGCATTAAATGCTATACATTTTGTTCCAAGGACCACTAACGAATTTTGATATTTTGTATTTGTATTTCATTGAGCAATTCCCATTATTTCTTTTCATTTCTTCTTTGACTCATAGTTTACTTAGAAATGTGTTATTTACTTTTCAAACAGTTGGTCGTTTTTCACATTTTTTTTTGTAGTTTCTAATTTCATATCTTTGTATTATATAATTCCTCTTAAGTTTCCTGAGATTAAAAAAAACCTATACAAATTGATTATCTTGTTTAGTATCCTGTGTGCTTTTCAAAAGAATGTGTATTTATTTTGCTCCTGCTGGGCCAATTATTCTTCCTCTTGCACTTGGCGGGTAGCCACACTTGCCGCAGGTTGACTTCTGAAGGTGGTAGGCCTTTAAGCCATAGCAGACCACTTAGGAAACCAAAATTTTCTTTTTAATTTTTATCCAAGGATTTTTTTAATGCCTTTTTAGAGAGAAGGAGGGAGGGAAGGAGAGACAGACAGAGAAAAAAATATGAGAGATTAACACTGATGGGTTCCTCTACCGTATTTGCCCAATTAAGGATGGAACTTGCAACCTGTGCATGTGCCCTGACCAAGAATGGAACCCACAACCTTTTGGTGAATGGGGCGATGCTCCAACCAACTGACCCACCTGGCGAGGGCTATCAAAGATTTCCTAAGTGATCTGTCCAGCATGCATTCATGTTTCTGAAATAATCTGTTAAGTTTAACCATTGTTAAATGAGAGTATGTTTTTTCCTGCAATTTACATTGAACTCTTTGTTCTTATTTATGGAGTAGAGGCCCGGTGCATGAAATTCATGCATGGATGTGTGTAGTGGGTGTCCTACAGCCCCACCTGCACTCTCTCCAATCTGGGACCCCTCTCACAATCCAGGACTGTTGGCTCCCAACTGTTTGCCTGTCTACCTGCCTGATTACCCCTAAGTGCTTCTGCCTGTCAGCCTGATCACCCCCTAACCACTCCTGGCCAGACTGATCAGTGCCTAACTGCTCCCCTGCCAGCATGATTGCCCCTAACTGTCCTCCCCTGCAGGCCTGGTTCCCCCAACTGTCTTCTCCTGCTGGCCATCTTGTGTGTTGGAGTGATGTTCAATTTGCATATTACCTCTATTATATAGGATTATAGTTTGCTAAAATACTGATTATAGTTTGTTTTTGTGAGGTAATGTCTCGTATTTGATGATGAAAATTCGTTACAGCAGTGAAAAGATGTAGTCTGGGGAAGCAGAAAGTAGTAATGGGGAATATTTAGTTTTTCAAACATTCGAAGTATTCTTATTTTTTTTTTTCTGAACATTGATTTTATTAAAAAAGCCAATTATTTTGAAACTTGATTTTATTGTCACTTTCTCAGTTTTCAAATTTATGTGACAGTTTGTATTGAGGTGGTTATATGTGGGAAATTTCAGTTTTGTGTGTTTTTAGATTTTCATTTGTATTGCATTAGAGATTTCATATATATATATATATATATATATATGAAAAATATTTAATTATTTATTCAACAGAAATATAGGGCTGGTTATAGTCTAGGAACTTAGTGAATTTAACAGCAGCAAAATGTTCTTTTTTAAAAAAAAATCTTCATTGTTCAGATTATTACAATTGTCTCTCTTCCCCTCCCCCCCCCCCATAGCTCCCCTCCACCCAGTTCCCACTCCACTCTCTCCCCTTACACCTCCACCCACTGTCCTCATCCATAGGTGTACGATTTTTGTCCAGTCACTTCCTGCACCCCCACACCCCTTTCCCCCTGAAAATTGTCAGTTCACTCTCTTTCTTTGCCCCTGATTCTATTATATTTGCCAGTTTATTCTGTTCAGATTTTTAATTCACTTGATTTTTAGATTCACTTGTTGATAGATATATGATATATATGTTGTTCATAATTTTTATTTTGACCTACTACTACTACTACTACTACTACTATACCTTTCAGCATTTCATATACTGGTTTGGTGGTGATGAACTCCTTTAGCTTTTTCTTATCTGTGAAGCTCTATCTGCCCTTCAACTTGGAATGATAGCTTTTCTGGGTAGAGTAATCTTAGTTATAGGTTCTTGCTATTCAGCACTTTGAATATTTCTTGCCACTCTTGTCTGGCCTGCACAGTTTCTGTTGAGAAATCAGCTGACAATTTTATGGGCGCTCCCTTGTAGGTAACTGTTTTTCTCATGCTGCTTTTAAGATTCTCTCTTTGTCTTTTGCCCTTGGCATTTTAATTATGATGTGTCTTGGTGTGATCCTCTTTGAATTCTTCTTGTTTGGGATTTTGTGTGCTTTCTGGACTTGTAAGTCTATTTCTTTCACCAGGTGGGGGAAGTTTTCAGTCATTATTTCTTTAAATAGGTTTTCAGTATCTTGCTCTCTCTCTTCTTCGGGCACCCCTATAATTCTGATGCTGGCACGTTTGAAGTTGTCCCAGAGGCTCTTTACACTATCTTCATATTTTTGGATTCTTTATTCTTTTCTTTTTGCTTTTCCAGTTGGGTGTTTTTTTGTGCTTCTTTGTATTTCAAATCTTTGACTTGATTCTTGTGATTCTCTGGTCTGCTCTTGGGTTTCTGTATATTTTTTATTTCAGGCAGTGTATGCTTAATATGTATTTGGTCCTTTTTTTTTGCATTGTATATTTTAAAATTATTATCTGTGTACATGTTTTACCATTGCCCCCCCACCCCAAGTTGGTCCTTTTTTTATATCCTAAAGGGTTTCATTAAATTTATCGGCCTTTTTGAGGAAATTCTTGAAAAATCTTATAACTGGTTTTGAACTCTATATCCAGAATTTTGCTATCCTCCATTTCTTTCATTTATGACCTCCTTCTTTGTCTCCACATTTTGGCTGCTTCCCTGAGTTGATATAGGACCCAGTGGCTCAGCCTCCCCAGTTACCTGAGGTGGACACTCTTGGTGCACTTCTTTGTGGGCTGTGTGCACAGTCTTGTTATAGTTAAACCTTGATTATTGTTGGTGTCACTGGGAGGATTTGACCTCCAGGCCAATTGGCTGTGAGGATCAGCTGTGTCTATACTGGGAGAACTTCTGTGCTGTAGACACCCTTATGAAACAAGATTTGCAAAAGCCTCTATGCTCAGCTTGGATGGGGTGGAGTCTCAGGGCAGAGCAAACAGCAGGGTCCTAAGCCCTGCCCTAATAGGACCCTGGGTCTCAGTGTCCTGTGATAATCGTTACTAGCACCTCAGAGAAAGCTGCCCTCACGTTTCACCTGCTGACAGACAGTCCAGTTTCTCCCCAAATGAGTCTGGGTCTCCAGAGTCTCGCCTGGAACTGGAGTTCATAGCATTCGGGAGCCTTTGTCTCCCTCCCGATTGAAAAAGCCAGCCGTGTACTCAGGTGCCTGCCCTCTTCACACCTCTGCCTTCCGTAGCTCTTGTGAGTCTCAGTGTGCTTTTCTCTTTCCTTCTAGTTGTGGAATTTCCAGTCAGCCAGCCTTTCTGTGGTTCTGGATGATGTCAGTTTTGTCTTTTAGTTGTAGTTTTGAAATTGTTGTGTGAGGCAGCAGTTTAGGTGTTTACTTATGCTGCCATTTTGGTTTCTACCATAGCAGCAAAAATTAATGATCCTATGGACCTTACCTTTCATTTTGAAAAAACATGTTATATTTGGTTTAATAGATTTCCCCATTATTTCCCAAAATGTACATCATATATAATACGTTTTCCCATTTTCATAGTTATTCACTTGCTATTATTTCCACATGCCTTATATTAAAATGATTATTAAAAAGTAGAAACTAATTGTTTAAGCAAATGTTTATTTTACTCTTTTCCCTAACATATCTAGATCAAAGGGATGATTGTGTATCAATTTTTGGATATAATAAAATACTTTTAAACTTTGAAAATCTTCACTGCAAAATATAACTGTTTTCTCACCTTAGTACTTGGAATAATTTCTGCTTCAAAGGCTTTAATCTTTCATTTTGGAAAGTTGCCTTCACCTGAATTTTAAAATTCTTGCTGTAGCCTATGCTAGTTGTCACCTTATAATCTCATGGGTATATTCCTCTAATCACTTTGTAGCACCTCAATTTTAATTGTTGCCTTCCTGTGCTGAACAACAATAAAGCTGCTTTTAATTTCATTTGTAAGAAGTAGTATGTTCTTATTGAGAATGCTGTAGCTTGAGAAACAAATACCTTCAATATTATTTACTATGTGTCATTGAATAAATATGTCTAACTTGTACTTTTACTAATTACTGCAATTTGATGCTCAAACAGCCATAATAAAGTCACTTATGTTTTAACAAGTATTTATAAAAGGCACTAAAGTAGTTGTTTTTACATAATTTGTTTAGGTGGACTGACTTATTTTTATAACAGAAACTTGTCTATGTTTATCTTACCAGTCCACTAATTATTGGTTATTGTTAATGTTCCACCTTTTTAAAACTTATACGCATATTATACTATTACAATCATTTCCCCCCCCTTTTATTTCCTTTCCCAATGTAAATATTAGACTTATACGAGCACTAGCAGCAACTCTATATCTGGATCATTGAAGCGCTTGGAAGATACTGCAGCACGATTTACAAATGCAAATTTCCAGGAAGTTTCTGCGCATACAACGAGTGGAAAAGATGTTTCAGAGGCTAGAGTGTCAGAGGGAAAAGGGAAGAAATCTTCAACTCACAGCTCTGGTCAAAGGGGAAGAAAGCCTGGTGGAAGAAATCCAGGAACGGCTGTGTCATCTGCTAGTCCTTTCCAGCAAGGTATTAACTATGATGTTTTAAATAAACTACTTGTTCTTATGATCAATAGTAATTAAGTTTTAAAAAAGAATTTATTTTTTATTTATTATTAATGGATCATTGGAGATTATTTTATAATTGCTGTAGTAAAATTACTTCCAAGGCTAGTATTCCTTGTTTAAATATTTTTGGGACTTTTGCTTTCTTTTTTTTTTTTTTTTTTGTGACATGTCCTTCCAATGTTGAACTGTAATTTTAATGTTTAAATAGATATGTAGTAATGTTTTTAAGTCTGGGGAAAAAAACAAAAGCTGGAGTTTTCCTTTCTGCTCTCTAGACCAGTTATTCTTTTTTATAAATTGTTTTTTTTTAAAATATATATTTTATTGCTATTTTACAGAGAGGAAGAGAGAGGGATAGAGAGTTAGAAACATCAATGTGAGAGAATCATCGAACAACTGCCTCTTGCCTACTGGGGTTGTGCCCGCAACCAAGGTACATGCCCTTGACCAGAATTGAACCCGGGACCTTTCAGTCCACAGGCCGACACTCTATCCACTGAGCCAAACTGGTTTCGGCTATAAATTTTTTTTTATTTACCTTTCCTAATTATACGCTAAAATAGTTAAGGTATATATTTTTAGTAAGTAAACAGCTGCTGGGTAATTTTTTAAGGGATCTAAATATTTCTTGGTAAATGGTAGTTGTTGATTGTGAAGGCATTTATTTTAAAGATTGATGTTTAAAGTAGAATTTTGCTCAGCCTGTATATATCATTTGGTAAGGCTGCTATATGTACAGCATGCCCAGGTGAAAAATAATTTGTTGCTTAACTGAAATTTAACTGGGCATGCTGTGTTTAACATGGCAGCCCTCTTATGGAGAACAGAGTAAATCATCTAAACTTTAAAATACATTAGCCCTGTGTTCTAAGTCTTAACTTTGTATAATTTTTAGCATGAACATAACTTCTTTGAGAAATGTTAAGGCTGCTTAAGGTAATATATTAGTACAGTATACCATAAATTGGCCCCCCCTTGCCTCTGTTGTCCCCTAGGAGTAAGTGAGGAAGGGTGGAGCATAGTCCTTTTCTTTACTTCATTCAAGGTTTTGATAATAATAATAATAATTGTATCTAAAATGTGCCAAAATATAATTCATGTATGTAGAGAGATTGCTTAGTCAGTGGACCTTATTAAAAACTATATATATTTTAAACTAATAGTTATTTTGAACTTCAAGATCCTCAAGTCCCATATGTATATTTTTACCATACAATACAAAAAAAATAGACAAATAGAAAAGAAATAAAATGCCAAATTTGTTGTTTTATTTTAATAAGTTTATATATTTTTTATTTTTATGCCACTGTGGAAAATAATTTAATTTTAATGTAACTTCAGTTAAAATGTGATAATAGCAGAAGTCAGTCACCTGCTCTCTACAATTAAGATTTTATTTTCTATTGTTAAAATCATATTGTTGAGTTATTAATGCGTTTGAGGTACAATCCATTTAGAAAAGAAATCTCATTTTCTTAAGTTTCACAACATTGAGTCTTTTCCCACCTCTGTTAAGATATGGTAGTGAATATTTTATGTTTTTATATCTGAAGGAATAGGCTAAAAGAGTTTTAAGAGTTGAAATATAAAGGTAGGATATTTAGAATAATTGGTTTTAGTTTTTTCATTGCAATTAGTATGTGAATATTAGAAAACGTGCTTTTAAAGTATTGGGTATACTAAATATTTTAAAGTATTTGCTATAGTGTAGTAAGCTTTTAACACCAGCTGTAAAAACAAAATATGTGTTAAAAAAAGATAGATTAGGACAGATCAGAATGGATAATAAAGAACTTCTTTATAGTTGCTAATTAATTAGCAAATCGCAGTTATCCTTAAATGATTGATGTAATGTAAATAGCTTCTTAATATGTATGCTCTTCTATATGGACATGCTTACCATAGGAAAATGCTTAACTTAGGAACAAATACTTTTATAAATACATAAAACAGATACTGTCTTGAAAGAGTTAAAATTTAAAAATCAAAACCTTGATACTTTAAAAACTTTTGTGTGCGAGAAAAAATATCTGTAAATATTTTGGTGGATTTATGTGTAATTACTTATGAATGTGCTCTGCAATAAAATTTAACACTTAGCTTGGAATTTCCTTCTACTCTAATAAAACACTTTATTTTGAGCTTTTGTTTCTAAATGCATTAGTTAAAACATGATAGAGTTTAGTTTTATGAGACATATGTGGTCACAACTAAGTCTGTGTATTTTATTTGGCAAGTATGTTCAGTGACATGGGATGATGAATCAAACTGTTGTTTCATCCCAACCATATTATTTTTCTGCCAGGTTAATAAGAACCCGAAGCTCTTACAGCTCGTAATGATGTGTCATTACTAATGTTCTTTATCTAAAAGAGTATGGGAAGAATAAGCAGTTGTGAAAGAGATTCATGAGAGGAACTTTCCAATGACTACTTTCAGAAAAACAATAGCAGAATGTCAGTGGCTGGTTTCTTTTTTTTATGCAGCTCCATGGGAAGTGGACTGGGAGAATGTAAGGTATATAGATTAGGTTCTACATGATTATTATTGTTTGATTAAATCTGTGTTTTGGTGGCATAGCTTTAAATGACAGCATTCACCAGCATTATATAGAAGTTAAAACTTAGGACTTATAATCTAACAAATGTTTTTTTGGTTCTTGTATATTGGGAACATTTATAATCATATCTGTAGTAATTAAAATAAAGAGGAAGTCCCTTTAGCTATTCAGAGTCCATTTGTAGGCTTATTAAAGTCTCATTCAGACTTTGGTATTCATCAGTTCTTCAAGTGTACATATAGTTGGGGAAGAATTAAGGAATGCTGCCATGGTAAAAGGTGGGTTAAATAAAGCACAACTTATATCTTGGTAGTTGTATAAGTAATAGCTTATAATTCAATTTAATGACTTACAAAATGACAAGTATTTTTAAAGATAATTTTATAGTTAAACTTGTTTTTAATAATAACCCTTCTAAAAGTCTACCTTTGTTACATAAGTGATGTCCTAAGTTGTTTTTTGTTTTTTTCACACTCTCTTTTTGATGATTGTTTCATTTCTATTGCTTATGGGAACTTTTGCATCCAATTTTTTCTTTTCCTATTCCCCCACCCTTTTTTTTTTCTAACTACAGGTAGTTTTTCAGGAACTCCAGGCAGTGTAAAATCATCTTCGGGAAGTTCAGTACAGTCTCCCCAGGATTTCTTGAGCTTTACAGACTCAGATCTACGTAATGACAGTTATACTCACTCCCAACAGTCATCATCAACCAAAGATGTACATAAAGGAGAGTCTGGAAGTCAGGAAGGGGGGGTAAATAGTTTTAGTTCCATTATTGGTCTCCCTTCGACCTCAGCTGTTATTTCACAGCCTAAAAACTTTGAAAATTCACCTGGAGACTTGGGTAATTCCAGCCTTCCTACATCAGGATATAAGCGGGCTCAAACTTCTGGCATAGAAGAAGAAACTGTAAAGGAAAAGAAAAGAAAAGGAAATAAACAAAGTAAGCATGGGCCTGGTAGACCCAAAGGAAACAAAAATCAAGAGAATGTTTCTCATCTCTCAGTTTCTTCTGCTTCTCCAACATCATCTGTAGCATCAGCTGCAGGAAGTATAACAAGCTCTAGTCTTCAGAAATCTCCTACATTGCTCAGGAATGGAAGTTTACAAAGTCTTAGTGTTGGCTCATCTCCAGTTGGTTCAGGTAGGGATTTGCCCATTGTTTTTCTCCCTTACTTCCACCATCATCATTTCCCCATTATCCCAAAAAGTAAATTTATTTTTATTTATTGTCATGATAATACTTGAGTTGCTAAGTGACATTTAATTATCTCCATGAAAAAATATGTTATGATATTAGAAAGACAATTTGGTGTTTAGAAAAGACATTTGGGGGGCGGGGGGGAGAAAAAAGAAAAAAAAAGAAAAGACATTTGGCACTAATTTGACATTTCTTAATTAAATATAGGCTAAATAGTTTATTGGTCTCTTTTATGGAACACCTAGGATTTCCCATTTTTGTTTTTGCTTCACCTGCACAGTATTTTTAAAAAATATATTTATTTAAAAAATATATATATTTCATTGATTTTTTACAGAGAGGAAGAGAGAGGGATAGAGAGTAAGAAACATCGATGAGAGAGAATCATCGACCAGCTGCCTCCTGCACACCCCCCACTGGGGATGTCCTTGCAACCAAGGTACATGCCGTTGACTGGAATCGAACCCAGGACCCTTGGGTCCGCAGGCCACTGAGCCAAACTGGTTTCGGCTGCACAGTATTTTTAAAAGCAACTCAGCTGGTGCAGCTCAGTTGGTTAAATACTGTTCCATGCACTCAAAGATCGTGGTTAAATTCCCAGTCAATGCACCTGTGGCTCAATCCTTGGGAGGGGTAGTGGTGCAGAAGGCTGCAGATCGATGTTTCTCTCTCACATTGATGGTCTCTCTCTTCTCAAATCAATGAAAAATTATTTTTAAAAGCCAACTCAGAATTTGCCTTTGAGGTGTGACAGTTTTTGCACTCTATTTTTGATTGGTATTTGCTTTTGAGCTTTCTCCAAATTTCAGTCTTCATTTTCTAAACAATTTCTCACACAAATTCTACTTGAATTGCTCCATCTGAAATATTTTTCAATCAGTGATAAATGATTTTATCTTATGGATTTTAACAGAAAATATTTGAAGTGGTTTATATTCTTTTTGTTTTCCAGTATGTTTAACATTTTTGCCATTATCTTTATTATGGTATGAATGCACTTATATATGTTGTTATTGACACCACTGGCATGCTTTTTTAATAGTGTATTTATATTATGACTATTATTTTTAATTAAAAAACCTTTTAAGATTTATGTTTTCACACAAACTTTATACTTTAGATATTCGTTAAATGTCCACATTTATATTTTAAATTGTATCTTGAATTTCAGGTAAATGATATTAAATGGTTGCTTATA